TTGTACTGTAGCAACAGACAGAGGTGAAGGCAATGGTGAGTGGCTCAGTTTGACTGAGAATGGACTGTGCTGAGAGAGGTGCTGTGCCAGGTCGTGCTGTGCCAGGTCATGGGGCCTCCAAGCCAGGCCTGGTGGCTCAGACTCACTGTTTGTGGCAGGGAGGGAGGCCCGGGATGACACAGGCTCTTTTTAAAAGTATGTGTTTCCCTAAAATAAAAGTAACAATCACATGATGGAAAATAAAATTAAGGCATCCATTTCTACCAGTCTTTTGCAACTATTATTTTTTTGATGTGTTTTCCTGCCAGTCTCTTTTCCTGAGTACTTTGGACAAAATGATTGCTGTATTGCTCCCTATGTCCATAGCTTTAATTATATATATATATCAGTTTTTATTGATTTGAGAGTGAAAGAGAGAAACATCGATTGGCTGCCTCCTGCATGCTCCCTGCTGGGGTTTGAGCCCGCAACCCCAGGCACGTGCCCTGACCAGGAATCCAACTGTCACCTCCTGGTTCATAGATCGATGCTCAACCATTGAGACACACTGGTTGAGCAGTATACAGTAGATATTGATAGCTATCACCTGTGCCAGGTCGTGCTGTGCCAGGTCATGGGGCCTCCAAGCCAGGCCTGGTGGCTCAGACTCACTGTTTGTGGCAGGGAGGGAGGCCCGGGATGACACAGGCTCTTTTTAAAAGTATGTGTTTCCCTAAAATAAAAGTAACAATCACATGATGGAAAATAAAATTAAGGCATCCATTTCTACCAGTCTTTTGCAACTATTATTTTTTTGATGTGTTTTCCTGCCAGTCTCTTTTCCTGAGTACTTTGGACAAAATGATTGCTGTATTGCTCCCTATGTCCATAGCTTTAATTATATATATATATCAGTTTTTATTGATTTGAGAGTGAAAGAGAGAAACATCGATTGGCTGCCTCCTGCATGCTCCCTGCTGGGTATTGAATCTGCAACCCGGGCATGAGCCCTGACCAGGAGTCAAATGACCCGTTGATGCATGGGGCGACATTCAGCCAACTGAGCCACACTGGCCAGGGCCACTGCTGTAATTTTTAATGGCTGCTTAGGCCATCGAGGGAATGTGTACCAAAACATGCTTGTGCTTACTGTCATTGGATATTTAAGTTGTTTTCTGCTTTTTTCTACTATTGAATGTAGAAAAAAAGTTGTTTTCTGCTTTTTTACTACTATTGTAAATACTGGTGCAATAAGTGTCTTTGCAGATACAGATTTTTATATGTTTTTGTTATATTTCCTTAGGATGAATTCTTAGGTTCTGGGTCGAAGTACCAAGGTTAACTGTGGCTCTTGGTACACTTGGGACCCAGTCAGCCTGTCTGGGGATGATTGTTTTTTCTTGTTCTGTGACATAGCCTCTAAAGCAAATAGGACTTCACAGAGCTTCTAAAGTATTGGAGACTCCATGCCTCCCAGATAGAATGGCAGAGTGTTTTTTAGCCCACAAGGTATTTATTTAATGTTTATTTGGAGCCAGAAATAAACCCCACAGTAGGGTTTATTGGGTAGAGTGTAGGATGGGAAAACAAGGAAAAGTCCCAGAGAGCTAGCTCACAGCAGGACCTGTGAACCACGTGGGAAGACATTGCCAAACCACGGAAAACCAGTATGTGTTTCAGGGCCCCTCCTGGAAGAGCTCCAGCTCTTCCTAACTCTGCCTCTTTTCTCTTGGGTCCCTCACACCCTAATGACATGGAAGTGTTCCCTGCCCCAGAGCTGTGGTGAGCCTTACTCACTGGGCCTTTGCTCATCTTCCTCTCCTCCTCCTGGAACCCTACCTTCCTCAAAGCCCTGCCTAGACCTCTCTTCTCTTCCCTTCCTGTCTTCATCCTGCCCTGGGTTCTTGTGCATGTCTCAGCTACCAGATCGTGGACTCTAGAAGGCAAGAGCTGTGCCTTTTTCATCTTAGTGTGTACCTAATGTTAACAGAATGAAAATGAGTTCAGGAGCATTTTGTTATAAATTAAGTAAAAGGCATTAGCCAGTCTGGGGCCTTTGGCATTGAGGGGGTTTTAGGTTACTTCTTTGTAGGTGAAACTTAGCTCTCACTATCCTTTTATTTATTTATTTGTTTGTTTGTTTATTTTTAAAATATATTTTTATTGATTTCAGAGAGGAAGGGGGAGAGGGAGAGAGATATAGAAACATCAATGATAAGAGAGAATCATTGATCGGCTGCCCCCTGCATGCCTCCCACTAGGGGCCGAGCCCCCATGCCCCCCCACTGGGGACCGAGCCTGCAACCTGAGCATGTGCCCTTAACCAGAATTGAAACCTGGACCCCTCAGTCTGCAAGCCTACGCTCTATCCGCTGAGCCAAACCAGCTAGGGCTCACTATCCTTTTAAATAACTACTTGACCCACTTATGAATTAGTTAATGCTTGGTGAGTGGAAAAGAAGATTGCTGTTGTTGACTTCTTATTTGTGACTCAGAGTAAAAGCTGAGGATCCTCATTCAGGCCAGTCAGTGTGGTTCTTAGTCACAAGACTCTCTGCATGTGTCCTACAAAGGATGTTTCCCAAGAAGGACTTCTCTGAGGCCTAGGAATAAAGAAATGAGCAGAAGCAGTTATCCCGGTCACTCACAGTGCCCCCCGTCAGTGTCCTTCCAGAGTGGGGTTCATTCAACCACACATTGATGGTGCACCTTCCATTTGTCAGGTGCTATTCCAGGTTTTGGGGGTGCACTGCTAAACAAAGCAGAACTGGGTCTTTCCCTCCCAGGTTTATCACTTTTGTCTTTGGAGACAGACAGCCTTGGATTCAGAGTCAGGTTCAGCACTACTTCTGAAATCTTGGACGAACTGCTTCCCCTCTCTGAGTGGAGGCTTTCTCCAGCTGCAAACTATTAATACTCCTCCCTCACAGGGTGGTCGTGAGGTGGAATGAGGAGGAGAGGGTGTAGCTTTTCTCAGCCAGGGATCCTCAGCTGAGCCACAGGACACAGAAATTGATTGACTGTTTTCTCCATTCTCTCAAGGATGGGATATAACCAGGATGGTTCAAGATGCACGGGAGAGAAGTCAAGTCATGGCAGACAGTGGATGCTTTAGGACAGTGGGGCTTAATTCTCTTGAGGAACCAGGTTGAGAGAGGCTGGTAGAACCTTCTTTTTGGATGGCTTGACACAGTGGCCAGTTCTGGGGTGGCTAGAATTTCACAGTAGCATCCTGGTGTGGTAAGCCTGGCACATAGTAGACACTCAGTAAATGTTAGCTCCCTTCCTCAGTCCCTCCTCCTCCCTACCTCTATCCGTAGGCCTCAGCTTCTCTTGAAGCCACCCACAACTTTCAGAAGAGCCCAGGTGTTCTCAGATGGGAAGTATCCTTGTCTCCCAGAGTGTTCCTGTTCCAGGCTCCTCTTCCTAGGCAAGGTGTTTCTCGGCCCCAAGGCTGCTGCTGTGATGCAGATGCTCCTTCTCTATGCCCTAGCATTTGGGCAGTGCCTCCTACAGAAAGCAGAGGGCCTACAACATGCAGCACTTACTCTCAGAAATTACTTGAGCTTCTGCTCTACACAGACCTTCACGAAGCACTGGGAAGCCAGAGTATGAACTAGACACCTGGTGCAGAATTTATGACCTATTAGTGGAGACAGGATTTGTTTATGGTGACCCTATTGTCTTTTTCCATATAGAAAAATTAGGAGGTTCCATGGGGCCTATTTAATGTTAACATTGTGTTTAAAAATCCAATTTTTTTTTTTTTTTTTAAATACATTTTATTGAGTTTTTACAGAGAGGAAAGGAGAGAGATAGAGAGTTAGAAACATCAATGGGAGAGAAACATCGACCAGCTGCCTCCTGCACACTCCCCACTGGGGATGTGCCCGCAACCAAGGTACATGCCCTTGACCGGAATCGAACCCGGGACCTTTCAGTCCGCAGGCCAACGCTCTATCCACTGAGCCAAACCGGTTTCGGCTAAAAATCCAATTTATGGAGGCTTCCTGGTGGAAGTGAGGCTGGGCCGGAAGGACAGGAGCATCTGGATGAGTAGTGAGTGATGGGGGGTGAAGTGTGCAGACAGGGGAGCCTAGGTGAGACCTTGTAACAGGGTCCTTGACAGAGTCCAGTGGCAGTCTGCTTACTCTTCAGCTGTTTCTCCCAAAACCCAGGCATCGTGTAGAGCTAAACCCGAGCCCCATACCTATATGTATGGAGAAATGGGAGTGTGTAGGAGCTCTGCTGGGTGAGGACAGGATGAAGACAGACTGGCCTCAGGTCAGCCGGGAGGCTGCTTGGGTGAAGAGGGTGACAGGGAGCCCTGTGCAGGGCTGGCCTTGGCAGAGATCAGATGGGAAAGGGAAGATTAAAAACTTAGGACAAGCTGTGTTCTGAGGATCTTTTTGTATTTTTAAAAAGAATCGAGAGGAAAAAAAATAACCAAAAACATTTCCCTGGCTTTTTATCTGAGCCCTTTATATCTCTTTATTCCTAGTAAGCATGCTTGACTTAACCAGTCAGCACTAGCACCTAGCAGCATGCTTTTGTTCTAAGACCTGTAGCTGTCCTTTTAAAAATAAGAGGAATAAAATAATAAATAAAACATTACAGAAAGGTTATAAAGTGAAAAATATCCACCCATTCACCCCCACCCCCACCCCCACCATAAAACCCCACTCCCTGGGGGTAAATACTAACCGTTATGAATCCATGAAGGGCACTAACAAGAACACATTTTTGTATCGATTCCCAGGCCTCAGAGTATAAAGCTTGCTTTGTATCTTCTGGAAAGTCATCTGGGCTGAACCCCTCCTTTTCCAGAAAGAGGAAAGAGATTGCAGCTCTCTGTGGCAGGGGCCAGGCACAGGGGTTTTCAGAAGAGGCTGTTCAGAACACTAGGAAGGGCCATCAGTGGCCTCACTTAGCCGGCTCCCTGGGATTGCCTGCTGGCCCTGAGGTAGTTATGTCTGTTCTCCTTCTCCTCAGCGTCTAATGGCTCTTTTTTACCTCCTCAGGATCCCTCTGTGACCCAGCTGACCAGTGCTCCACAAGGTGGCCTGGCTGAATTCAACCCCTTCTCAGAGGTTGGTGAGCATGTCCTCTTTATGAGTCCCTGGGTCCTCTGGGTGGTGCTGGGGTCTCTGGGGCAAGGAGCCTTGGCAAGACTGAGTGTTCTGAGAATCTACAGTTCTCAAAGGGACAATCTTGTTGTGTTGTTGTTGTTTTAAATATGTTTTATTTATTTTAGAGAGGAAGGGAGAGGGAGAGAGAGATGGAACCATCAATGATGAGAAAGAAACATTTGATTGGCTTCCTCCTGTGCACCTCCTACTGGGGATCAAGTCTGAAACCCGGGCATGTGCCCTGACCGGGAATTGAACCGTGACATCCTGGTTCATGGGTTGATGCTCAACCACTGAGCCACAGTGGCCAGGCTCAAAGGAACAGTCTTTTATTTTTTTAAAAATATATCTTTATTGATTTAAACATCAGTGATGAGAGAGAATCATTGATTGGCTGCCTCCTGTACACCCCCTACAAGGGATCGAGCCTGCAACCCAGGCTTGTGCCCTTGACTGGAATCGAACCTGTGACTCTTCAGTCCTCAGGCTGACACTCTATCCGCTGAGCCAAACTGGCTAAGGCTCAAAGGGACAGTCTTAACGTGAACTTGAGGGGTGGGGGTAAGATGAGGAAGCCACCAATTCTCCTCTTAGGGTCATGATCTGGGCTCCTCCTGAAGAGGGCAGGGCAGTGCCAGGAGCTCTGGACCCAAAAAGGCCAGGGATCCTAGGTTAGGCCTCACCCTGCTCAGAGCCTGAGGCTTGTTGGCTGAAAAGCTACAGAGGGAGATCCAGAGGGAGTACTCCTCATAGGCAGGGGCATATCACCCTCCCTGTTGTGGGTTTGCCTCCCACATGGCCAACTAATGGCGTCCCACTCACCTCACTCCTTTAATCTGTCCCAAGCAGACAAATGCAGCAACAACGGTTCCTGTCACCCAGCCTTCTGGGCCCTCGCAGCCAGCGGTTCTCCAGCCCTCAGTGGAACCAACCCAGCCAACCCCCCAGGTACTGTTGACAAAGATCTCTTTTGCCTCTCCTTTCCAGAAAAGGAAGCACCCAGACTAGTAGCTGAATCCTGAGATCGGGGTGGGCAGGGGAGTCTTATTCTCTGGCTTCCCTTCAAGGGCCTCTTAATAATCTCTTTGGAGTTTGTCACTTGCATGTGGAGCGTCTCCTCACATAACCCCCCTCACCCCCCTCACCTCACTGCCAGCACCAAAAAATAAGCCCTACTCACCAGGCTGGGCTTCTGGGTATCTTCAGACAGAGCATTGCCCCTCATGCCATTCCAGATCTACCTGAGGCCTTTTTTTACTCAGGGCCCGGAATATATCTTCTTCTTTTTTTTCTAACCTTATTTATTCCTGTCTTCCTTCTTATTTTTCTTTGTCCCTTCACCAAATACCGTGAATCGTGTCTGCTTGGTACCCAACCCTCTGTCCCTTGCCTCACTGTTTACCCCACGCTCCTCACTGCCCCTGGTGAGCATGATCCTCAGTGGAGTTGTATGTTGCAGCTCCTCCTTAGACAGGCCAGCAAGTTCCTGCCTACCAGTTTCCTGGCAGTAAGCGAGCTCTCAGAGAGGCAGATGCTACTAGGAGGAGATAGTATTCTCAGAGACAGCTACATGCAAAAGCTTCCAAAGGTAGGCAAAGTATAGGTGAGCGTGAGTGAGGGCAAGATGCCTGGATTCTAGTGGGCCCCAGGCTGCTCCTGTCATTTGGCTGGACTTACTCTGAAAGTGCTGCCCCTGCATGGAATCCTGGGATCCTGGGATCCTGGGCCCCACCCATGGCCTAGAATGCTGTGAGGCAAGGCTTAGAGGCAGAGACTTTCTTGTTCAGCTGGGTGGTGGGTCCTGGGTCCAGTTCAACTGAAGTCACAGACTTAGAGAAATAGGCTAAGACCCTTATCGTGGTCAATTCTGCTCCTGCTTCTACCCCTAGTGCCTGAAATTTACCTCCTGAAGGTAGCCTTAGCTCTTTGGAGAACTCATTTTGGAGAGATAGAGAACACACATATGTATGTGCACATATGCCTGGCTTATCCTGTGAGATGACCAGTTTGGTATTTGCTCCCTAAAAAGGACTGTAGCCTTCTGGAGGAACTGGGCTCTGGGCTGGAACTCTGGACCCAGCTCTGCTCAGCCTCCGTAGAATCCTCTAGCTGCTTCACTCCAAGGCGTTGCTCTGCCTGGAGAGGGGATAAAGCTTTGACTCTGCACACCATCAAAGCCAGGCAGAGCAGGGCCAACCTTAAGGGGCTGTACTGGGATGTAGCCAGTAACAGTTCCAGTGGACCTCAGGGGGCAGTTCCTGGGAATGGAGTAGGTGCAGGTGCTTGAATATACATCCCTCTGGTTCCAGGTACACAGAGTATGGCCTCAAATGCTTGCCCATCCCACTCACTCTGGCAGGTTTGCACTGTTTCCCTTCACACACACACCCTTCAGGCTCTCAAGTGAGGCTTAGGTCTCTGGGTTTCTGACTACAGGACAGTCTGTTGTGACGCCTTCTGCCCTTTCTGTCACCCCAAAGGTCAATGTAATTGAACTTGGCCTGGACTACAGTATGGAGGATGGTTCTCTTACCTCAAGTTTCAGATGAAGGGGAGAGGAGAGCCCTGATAATGGCAAAGGGGCCACAGAGGTGTTTTAAGAGCAGTAGGGGACAGGTCCCTTGGCCTCTCTTTGGTGGTCTCAGGTGCCCAAGACATTGGAGGGGGTGGGACTACCCCTGGAACTCCCAGCTGGCTCTCCCTGCATGGGGCATGGGCCCTGTGACTTCCTGTCAGGCCAAACACTGTTCCCCTGTCTCTCATGTTTGGTTGCCTTCCCCTTCCCTTTTCGCTCCAGGCTGTGGCCTCTGCAGCCCAGGCAAGCCTACTCCGGCAGCAGGAAGAACTGGACAGGAAAGCAGCCGAGCTAGAACGAAAAGAGCGGGAGTTGCAGAACACTGTGGCCAACTTACATGGTAAGGGAGGCCACACTAGATCCTGGGTTCCCGTCCTGGTGCAGGAGAGTTCCCTCAGCCTGCTTGTTCCTGGGGCAGCCTCAGCTCTTTGCTGAGCTCCTGATCATCTTAGAATGGTGTTGGTCCTGGGGAGAGCAGTAAGTGGAAGTCAGGAGACCTGTAGTGTAACCTTAATGGGTGTAGATTATGTCTGCATTCCTTTTCAGCTGTAAAATTGTTGGATAAGAATGGGGGCACTGGCCCCACTATTCCTTGGTTATAGGCTGTTCAAAAAAAATAATCACTTAGGCTGTTTAGCTCTGTGTTTCCCAGTACATTTGGGGTCCATTATCTTGCACTGATCGTGTGGGTGTTTATGTCCTATCATCCTTTTTCTTTCCTACTTTATATCCATGAATACCCTGAACCCCACTTGTTGACGCCCCTCTGGGGGTCCTGAATTGGCCCATAAGCTGGGCCTCATCTTGTTATCTCCTGCTACACAGTGAGAGAGAACAATTGGCCGCCTCTGCCTTTGTGGTGCCCTGTCAAGCCCTGCTTCTATCAAGACTTCTCCACAGAGATCCCTGCTGACTACCAACGAATATGCAAGATGCTCTACTATCTCTGGATGTGTGAGTCCAGCTCCTGCACCTCTGAGCTTAGGGCTGAAATGGACTGTGTCTTGAGATCCTTGTCTATGCTCTGGCTGCTCCTCCCTGGCAGACTCCAGCCTTTCTCAGTGTTGGTTGGGCTGGGGTGGGGATCTTTGCCCACATAATTGGCCCTCTGAAGACTGCTTCCTGTCATGGGAACCTCCGACCTCAAGGGCGAGTGCAGACCATGCATCAAGTAGGGTGAGACCAGCTGGAGGCTTCTGAGTTCTTGGGGAGCTCATTGCACTAAAAGGTTCTCCTTCGGTGGAGTCTTCCCCTCTCCACAGACCCTTGGGCTGCTAGGAGTGAGGATAAAAGACTCCCTGTTGCTATCCTGTGGACCATCCAGGGCCAGGGAAAAGAGTTGCTTAGAGAAGGAGTCCATTCCCCAAGGATCAGTTATTGGGTCTGTGCCCTCTTCATGGCCACCCCTTAGATACCTGGGGTGTCCCATCACCTCTGAGGAGCTTGGTTTGGTCCCTAGTTTTGAGGGACCAGAAAAGCAAGGACAGGCCTGGGTACAGACCGAGGTCCTCTACTTTTGCTGCAGCTGCCCTGACAGCATGGACCTCATCTCCTCTCTAGGGGATAGTTTGACATATCTGGGAGCCCTTCAGCCACCTTGGCACCAGCCCACGTCTGTCTCCTCCCCTTCCACAGTGCATTCAGTGACTCTGTTTCTGAACCTGCTTGCCTGCCTGGCCTGGTTCTTAGTCGACAGCAGCAAGGGAGTAGACTTTGGCCTCTCAATCCTGTGGTTCGTGATCTTCACCCCCTGTGCCTTCCTTTGTTGGTACCGACCCATCTATAAGGCCTTCAGGTGAGTGGGGATGGGACAAGGCGGGGAGTATATGGCTGGCATCCCAGGTAGCAAGCCAAGGCCATGAGCCCTAGGATCCCATTCCAGTCAGAGCAGAATAGATCATGGGAAATTCACTTCCCATTCCCACCCACAGCCAGAGTTGGCAGGGATCAGGAGCCATTTTCCTCAGTTGTACCTAAGGTCTGTTTTGGATCCTCTTCTTGGACCAGGAAAGGAGACCTAGAGAGGGGAGCACGAGCCTTACTTGTCCTTCCACTGCACCCAGTCTGTTTGGTGCAGAAGGATTTCAGTCACTGGGAAAGGAAGGGACTTCCTCAGCTCCCTTCCAAGGTTCTAGAGCAGCGATTTTCAACCAGTGTGCTGCAAGCATTTTAAAACATGCAGTACTTGACTATTTAGTCATGGGCACTGACCTCTTTCCCCTTAGATTGTCAAATAAAAAAATGACAGCAGCAAACACAGTAGCTGTTCAGTGTGAATGAATCAAAAGTATACCTATTTTTTGTCAGATTGGCAAAAAGTATATTTTTGTTGTGCCACAGAATTTTAGTATTTTATGTGTACCATGATATGAAAAAGGTTGAAAATTGTTGCTCTAGGATATTCTATGATAGAGTCAGACTCTGAGTTACGCTCTTAATAGTTTCTCTCTCCATGCTTACTTATGCCCCTCCCTTTACTTTCCTAGTAACTGTGGAGCATCGCTAAATGCCAGTATTTGACCAGCTGGCCGAGAATAGATTCTGTGGACTTTAATGGATCCACTTTACAGACCCTTAGGGCTTTTGGAATTGTGCCTCAGAGCTGATGCTTTCAGGGCTGGGATGCACTCAGCAGGGAGGACTTGAACTCTCACTGTATTCTAGCCCTCATGGACATGGAAATGGAGGTGCTCAAAACACCAGTTTTGTCTAGTGTCTTCTACTTCCCAAAAACCTTTCCTGCCACTCAGGCCTACAGTTTTATTATTAGGGGTTTATACCTTTGGCTTAGATTTTCTTCCCTGTTATGAAATGCAGATAAGTACTCCGGAAGATGGACTG